GAGTAGGAGGAGGAGGGGAAGAAGGAGGAGCAGGAGCAGGAGGAAGAAGAGGAGGAGGGAAAGGGAGAAGAGGATTAGGAGGGTTGAAGGAGAAAGGGGCAGTGGGAGGAACGGGGAAAGACAAAGTCGGTGAAGGTGGAGGAAACAAACAAAGTATCAAGGAGACTAGCCTGATCTGTTGGGAGGATGCTGGCCATACGCGTGGCTTCCTCTTGTGATTTGACTGCTGCAGAGTTGAGGAAAGGAGAAAAATGCAAAGAGGAGGAGGAGGAGGAGGAGGAAGGGGGAGGGGGGGATGGCGAAGGAAGAGGAGGAGGAGGTGAAGGAGGAGGAGGTGAAGGAGGAGGAGTTGCAAGTAGATCACAACGAGGGAGAGGAAAAAGAAATTGAGGAGGAGAGGAGCGGGAGAAAGAGCGGGAGAAAGGAGAGGAAGGGAAGAGGAAGGGAGGAGGAGGGTATGCGAAACCGGCTCTGAGAGGAGACGCTGTGCTGCCTGCTCCCTTCTGTGAGGACGCGAAGAAGTCAAGGCTCCTGGGAGTCAGGCTGTTGGCTGCGATCTTGTGAGGAGGAGGAGGCAAAGGAAGTCGAGCCTGCTGCTGCTGCTGGGACGACGTAGAGTACTGAGAGGATGCGCTCCTCGGCGTCAGGTTCAGCTGGATCTTGTGCTGGGCATCCTGGTGGTTCTGTTGCTGGGCTCCGACACCTCGAGGGCTCCTGCTGGGATGCTGCATGCCGGATGAGGAGGGGGAAGAAGTTCGATTCCTGTTGGTTTGATCCTCCAGAATCATGGAGGGAGGTGGCGGCTGCGCTTGCTGGAAGCGAGGGAGAGCGACGCTTGCTTGCTTCAGGCGCTCCTGCGCTCCTGCTGCCCCTGTCCGCTCCTGCTCCTCCTGCTTCGTGTTGCCCACGTTGCCTCCTTGCTTCTGCTGCTGCTGCATTTCCAGCATCGATGATGCTGCGTAAGAAGAGGAAGGGGCAGGGGCAGGGGCAGGGGCAGGGGCAGGGGCAGGGGCAGGGGCAGGGGCAGGGGCAGGAGGCAGAGGAGGCGGGGACATGTTGGATAGGCGGATGAAATTGATCTGCAGGCAGTGCCCCCTGGAGGAGGAGGAGTCAGCGAGGGACAGCAGCTGGTCTATCACTGACAGGAGCAGGAGGATCCTGATAGAAATCCACACGGATCGGAGGAGAATCCTGACGCCGGAGGAGAGCTCGAGGCCCTGCGACCAGCCCTCCTCTTCCATCCACGTCTCGAAGCCCGAGAGGACGAGGCCGCCGGAGGAGAGAAGGATGCTGATCATGTAGAGGCAGGCGAGCGACGCCTGGTATCTCCTCGCAACGAACATCTGGGAAGGGTGAGGGTTGTACAGGGTGAGGCCGCTCGCACCAGGAGAATAGTTGATGCGAAGGAGGAGACGAGGCCTGCGAAGCTTTGCTGCAAGTGAGGACGAGAGGAAGGGAGGAAGGGAATGAGGAGAGAGAGGAGGAGGATGACGAAGATAGCACAGGACGAGTGGAGGGAGCGATGAGGAGGAGCAAGGCAGGACAGGATGAAAGTGGCGAGGGAGGAGGAGGAGTTGATAGTAAAGGAGGAGGAAGAATCGTGGCAGAAGGAGGGGAGGAGAGGTAGCGAGACGTACTTGGGCTTACCTCACACTCTCGTGGACGATCAGGCACCAGCGATGGTCCTGAAATGTACCCGTCCTCCCTCCTCCGCTGAAGAATCGGAGATTGAAGATCACATTCACCTGAAAACCTCTTCACTCGGAACCCAGACAGCAAGGCAGTGGCTAACCAGCACGATGTCTGCGCTCAACAGCAGCACGGTAGCCACGTTCCTAACAGCATCATGACATGTTGAATCCATGAGAGGAGAGGAGAGGAGAGGAGAGGAGAGGAGAGGAGAGGAGAGGAGAGGAGAGGAGAGGAGAGGAGAGGAGAGGAGAGGAGAGGAGAGGAGAGGAGAGAGGAGGGGAGGAGAGGAGAGGGAGGAGAGGAGAGGAGAGGAGGAGGGGAGGAGAGGAGAGGGGAGAGAGGAGAGGAGAGGAGAGGAGAGGAGAGGAGAGGAGAGGAGGAGAGTGCAACAGTCCTTACATGAACACCATCGAGCAACTCCTCTGCTGGATGTATGACAAAGTGCTGTACTGATAGATGTAATCCTCACTCGCCATCGACTGCATCGGTTAAACGGCATCAGAAAGCCCGCAAACTTCCCACAGATGTCAACCGGAGGATGGCCAGCTGGCGGCGCCTCCCCGACCCACTTCGCAGCATGTGGCTGATGAACAGGAGGAGGAAAAGCTGGAGCCGGAGCCGGAGCCGGAGCCGGAGCTGGAGCTGGAGCCGGAACGTTGAGATATTCCATGCTCAGAGGCTCGCTCCTGATTTCCTTGTGGATCGGCTTCTGCTCGGAAGGAGGGATGTACTGTGGGCCAGGTGGGGAGACGCTGAGGTCGAGCTGGGAGGTTCTCACGGGATTCTTGGTCGTGCTCTGAGGTTCTAAACTCTGGGGGAACATGTTGGGCACCTGGGACATGAAGCGCACGGGAGTGGTAGAGAACTCTACTGCCTGACAAGTGACGTCATCATCAGATGCCAGGAGGGGGGAGGGAGGGATAAGCGGCAGGAGAGAAGCAAGGGAGAAAGGAGATAGAGAAACAAAATGCTTTGTCGAGCATCGAGGGGAAGGGGGCGAAGGAGGGGGAGGAGAAGGAACTTACCTGTGCCCGCACCGCCCGATTCTCTGTAAGCTCCATAGCATCTGTAACCTCTTGCATGGGAGTGGCTACGTGTACTACTCCCTCCTGCCACCCGTTCCAAGCTTGATTCTGGTACTCCTGAAAGATTTCCGTCTCGTCCGGAAGGATTTCGAGCCCGGGAATGTTGTAGATGATCTCCTCCTCACCGTGTGTGACCTTCACCGGATGCTCCAGCGACTCGTTGGTCGTCACCGTCTGCATCGTCGTCCGGGCGTTGGAAGAAGGAGCCCCCTGATGCGAGGAGGACTGCTGCTGAGACTGACCAGCACCTGCCCTGCCTGAGTCGAGCGCCGCGACGTCGAGATCTCTGTCGGAGGTGACGTGAATGCGAGAGTCCTGCATGGTGGATGAGGCAGCCCGCGGCTTCAGCTCCTGCACGACGTGAGGAAGAACTTTAGGAGTCGATGCCTGGCTGTTTCCTCTCCTCAAAGAATGGAGAAGCTCTGCGTCGTACTCTGGACACCAGATCTCCCCTGGCTTGATGGTCTGAGACTGACGAGGAGGGCGAGGAGGAGGTGGGGATTGCTTGGGGGACTCTTGCGACTTGAGGGGAAAGATATGGGAGGCTCCCTGGAAGGCGTTGCCGAACTGCGATAGCGCGTCGAACCCTGAAGGAAGTCTCACATGCTGAGATGCTCTCCGCATCGCACCTTCGGCGATGGCAGGCGCAAGGATGTTCTCGAAGCCATTGTTTCCAGGCTCATATTGCCCTGGACGAGCCTGGGCGCTCGAAGCTGACCTGTTCAGGGGTTCTCTACCGTCAAAAACAGCGGCCGCTGTGGACTAGGCTGCTTCCACAACCGTGCACGATTTTCGACTATTCCTTCAGCTCATTCCCATCAATGACTAGTCAAGAAGTTTTCTCCCTCCTGTCTCCTTGCTCCTATCCCACCCTGCCACCACTTTACAGTTCTTTGTCGTCACACCAACCTTGACTGAGCTAGAATCCGACGGCTACTCCTCTTATCATAACAATACATGCCATATCTTCTCACCCTCAGCACATGCTCTCTCTTGACCGCATCCTACCCCTCTCATCTTCCCCTCTCGCATCGCCATCGCACGCCCAATTCACTGACCTGCCGCCGCTCACTCCGGCCATTGCTTCGACATCGTTTTCAAAAGCGACCACCCGCCCCGTGCTTTCACTCCCCCTACCCACCCACCAGGCATGGAACAGGCCGAATACATAGCTATGTAGGGGTGGCTACTGAAGCCTTTGACTACCCCTACCACCAATTCTAACACTAGTAGGGTCCGAAGTTGACTGATCCTTCACCCAGACGAGGCGGACTCGCCGATTGACTCCGGACTGGGCCGGCCGGGTCGCTGGATGAGTGATGTGTAACGTCATCGTAACGGAAGTCCCCTAACAAAATACCCCCACAACTCCGCGTATATTTTGTACTACCCTACCAACTAATTTTGAAAAAATAGACCCCCACCACACTTCAATAATTTTCACCCCTCAATTACACATACAAGACCCCATTCTTTCTGGTCAAATCTCAATCAAATTAAGCGCAAACCCATATCTTGACTACCCCTACCCTCTTAATAACTTCCCTCCTCCACCCCCACCTCCTAATCATGTCCCTGGGATCCCGATGGCCTCGTGGCCTCAGGGATGGAGGGAGGGAGAGCAACAAGGGATAGAGGGAGTGAGAGGAACGAGGTGAAGGGAGGGAGGGAGAGGAACGAGGGATAGAGGGAGTGAGAGGAAGGAGGTGCAGGGAGGGAGGGAGGGAGGGAGGGAGGGAGGGAAGAGGTGGAGGGAGGGAGGGTAAGAGGTAGAGGGAGAGGGATTGAGTGATGGAAGAGATAGAGGGAGTGAGGGAAAAAAGAGGTAGAGGGAGGGAGGGAGGGTCAGGGAGGGAGCCGGAGGCATAATCCCCCACTAAGTGAGATGGAATTGAGGAGGGTGAAAGGAAAGATTTTGATTCCAGCTCGATCATCTCAAAACACTTTTGACTCGTTATGGTCAGCACAGGTCGAAAGCACCAAACTTGGCGAGATCTAGAGAGTGGCTGGATAGAGACAAGACGATGCTGAGCAGAGACAAGGTTGTCGTCGGCGTTCTGGTCTCGCAACTCCTCATGCTCGGATGCGCCATGGCCTTCACTCCAACCCAGGCAATGCAAACATGATCTGACGGGGGATATTGGATAGGAATGGTGAAGAGAGGGAAGAGGGGGGGGAGGAGGGGGAGGGGAGAAGCAGAGAAGGGAAGATTGGGACAGGGAAAAGGAGGAGGTCCAACCGTCAACTCATTACATGCGACTTGCAGGCTTTCACGGGAGGGATGGGTTGTCGTATGGCCCTTACAGGCTCTTCGGTGTCCCGGTAATGTCAGAGGGTTTCCCTCCTCTCGTGCGCTGACACATCAAACAGCGCAAGGATCGTTCACGTCGCGAATCCGTACAGCAGGAAGGAGAGCTCTTTCCTCCCTCCTCTTGCTTCTGGAGGCGGCAACGGAGGGATCATTGGCCGATCAGGAAGAGGAGGAGACGGTGACGGCGAAGGGGAGGAGGAGGAGGTGGACGGCGAGATCGCAGCTCTCCTCAAGCAGTACAACTTGAAGCCGTCGGATCTCCCAGCTGGGGCCCTGGCCCTGTCAGCTGAGAAACTCTCGAGGTTCCTCCGCTCCTACTCAAACGCCCTCAATCGCTTCCTCATCAACTCCTGGCCGGCATGGCGCGACAAGATGCTGGCTGACCCGGAATTCGCGTACAAGATGATGGTGGAGGAGACGGTCGGGCTGGGTCTCGCCATGTCGGGGACAGTTGCGGCAAGAGGCAAGGATATTCTGAAGGAGCTCGACTTCTTCCTCACCGACTGTGCGGGTGAGACGGAGGCGAAGTAGAAGTTAAGTTCGGGAGGAGGAGGAGGGAGAGGAGGAGGAAAAAGAGGAGGAGGAGAAAGGGGAGGTGCAGGAGGTCGAGGTCGAGGTCGAGGTCGAGGTCGAGGTCGAGGTGGTGGTTGTGGTGGTGGTAGTGGAAGACGAAGACGAAGATGAGGAGGAGGGGGAGGAAAGGAGGAAAGGAAGGTCGCCATGACTGACATCTATCTCGTGCAGTTGGAGCTGTGCTCAACTTTGTGCTCATCTGGCTTCTAGCTCCCAGTGTGCGGGCGATGCCAGCCTCAGCTGGAAGGTCTCGATTTTGAGCAAGAACCTCGCGCAATTTTGACGTTGGCGAGCAGATTGTCAGCTCAACTGGCGAAGCTCCCTGCCTTTGTGTTTGCCGAGGGGCAGTACAGCCTAGCTCAAAGGGTGATGACGATGACGATGATGATGATGACGATGACGATGACGATGACGATGACGATGATGATGATGATGACGACGACGACGATGACGGATATGCTTGTCCACTCTCACTCTTTCATTCCCAGTTCGGAGCTGGCATGTACAAGGGCTCCTTGTTCGCCTTCTGCGGCTTCCTAGGATCGGTGGGAGGCACATCCATTGCGTATTTCTCGCTCTTGTTCGCATCCGAGCTGACGTCCAACTAGTTACATGCTCCTCCTCATCCGCCAGCTGGCTGATCCCACGAGCAGCTCCGACAAGAGGATGCCAAACGTCCTGGCGAACAGCTTGGGGTGACATTCCCTCCTCCTTCCCTCCTCCCGTCCTTCCTCTCGCCTCTGTTCTATCCTCTTGGTCTTCTTCCTTGACCTTCACCTCTATCCGCTTTTCTCCTCCTCCTCCTCCTCCTCCTCCTCCTCTCAGTCCTGAAATCGCCGTGGCAGCTGGGCCTCCTTCATGTTCGTTTCCACAAACCCGCGATATCAGATCGTCAACGGACTTGAGCGCGTGAGTCAAAACTTCTCGTCCTCGGCTAAACTTCCTCCTCACCTACCTCTTTCCTCCTCCTCCCCTCCCTGCCCGCCCTCATTTTTCTTGCAGGTGCTCTACAGTGTCGCCCCAGCCGGGGGGAGGGCCGGGTCGCTTGTCCTCCGCACTGGCAACAACATCGTAGGAGGTGCTACATGCATGTCAACTCTACTACTCCTCGTCTTCTACCTCCTCTCAAACTCCCAGCCTGACTGCCCCCCCTTCCTCTACCCGCTTCCTCTGCACCCTCCCTCCCTCCCTCCCTCCCCCTCCTGCTCTGATACACCTGCAGGTGCAACGTGGGTGATGTGGGCTCGCTTCATCGGCTTGCAAAAGAAGAGCGGCCAAGACAAGCAGTGAGGAGGAGGAAGCAGCGGCTGCCTTCTCGTTAGGATCCCTGTAATGAAACAAGACGGGCAAGCAGCATGCTGACAATCATCCTTCCATCACATCTTACAACTTCGCCTTCCAACGAGGCAGGCGGATAAGAGGGTTCTTCTTCCTCACAGTCTTGTATCCCTTCGTGTTCCAACCCCATGGCGACACGCCCCGGCCAGACTTCTTGCCCTCACCTCCTCCATGAGGGTGATCAACGGGGTTCATCGCCACACCTCTCACGCTGGGCCTCTTTCCCTTCCATCGGTTTCGTCCCGCCTTCCCCAGGCTCTGGTTCATGTGCTCGGGGTTTGAAACTCTCCCTATCGTTGCGACGCAGTTGAGCTTCACATACCTCTGCTCCTTGCTCTGCATGCGCAGAAGCGCCAGGCCGGTGGCTTCGTCCTTCTCCAGCAGCATCGCAGCGGCTCCAGCTGACCTGCACAGCTGTGCTCCCTTCCCAGGGGTCATCTCGATGTTGTGGACTAGCGTTCCCACCTGAACGAACCGCAATGGCATGGCGTTGCCATCCTTCATGTTGACCTGCTGCGACCTGCTCGACTCGAGCTCCTGCCCGATCTTGATGCCGAGAGGACAGATGATATAGGAGAACGCCTTCCCAAGGCCAGGGGTGGTGCATCGGAGGAGAGCGATCAGCGCGGATCGGTTCGGGTCGTACTCAATCCTCTCAACCACGTTCATGATCACGCCCTCGTGGTGAGGAGGAGCACGCAAGAAATCGATGATCCTGTATCTTCGCTTGTTTCCTCCTCCTCTATGACGTACAGTAATGCGTCCATCTTTGTTCCTCCCTCCCGTCTTCCTCAAGCCGATCGTGAGGGACTTCAGCGGCTTGCCCTTCCACAGATATTCCTTGTCGATAAGGGCTGTGTGCCTCTGCGACGGAGTCGTTGGCTTCCTCCTGATCACACTAGGGCAAGTGGGGTCGGTAGAAATGCGCGCGCCATACCAAGTGACAGTCTTCTTCCTCTTGGGAGGCTTCAGAGGCCAGAGGACGGTATTCGTCTGAACCGCTGGTGCGGGGGGCTGCTTGGCGTCCAATTCCTGCGCCGCCTCACTGCTAAAGTTCCTTCCCTTGCCCTTCAACCCCAAGAGAGAGCATGGCATCGCCATGGATGGGCCCGAACGAGCAGCTCCCACAGAGAGCTGGCGGATCACTTGAGAGGAGGAAGCCTTCATGGGAGCAGGCATGGTAGCGGATCCTGGGGATGAATACAGAGAGGGCGCAGGAAGGGAGCGACATCCTGGAGAGTGATATGAGATCATGTGGTAAGGCCGAAGAGAGGGCAGCAGCTTTGTTCTACTGCCCCCCATGGCGACCGGAGGAGACGCTAGAGCCGCGGCATGCCGCACTGCTCTCCTCGCCGCCAACATGGCCTTCCCTCGCGCTTCCGGTTGCAAAGCTAATATTCCAAAGTGCTCAAATTGGGATGGAATTTGGTTCAAAATTGAAACTAAAAGTTCAAAACTAAATAGAAATAATTTGAAGTGTTCATTATTGATACCACCATTGGGAAAAAACTGTTTGCACGCTGACAACCCCCACCCCCTACCCTACCCTTCGTGAATACCACCCTCATTGATTCTTGACTACCCCCTCTTGCCTCATGCTACGGTCAATCACAAGTCTGGTACCCACCCTTACAATAGAAATTAAACGGGTATTCCTTCACCCCACCTAAAAATATGCCGGGGTATATCTACCACCCACTGATTTCCTCACCCTACCCACAAATATTTGCAAGTACCCCCACCCCCTTTGATCATATCAGAAACACCCCTTCTGTATCCCCAACATTTCCGTTGTCCGCAACTGCATTGTTTTCCACCAAACCCGCCTGCTGTGCTTGACCCACTGCTGCCCACCTGCCCACCTGCTCTTTCTCTCTCCCTCTCTCATTCCTTCCTTCTTCTACCTCGTGTGCTCCTGCTCCTGCTGATCTTCTGTTCGCTTTTGCATCACCACTACTACAACCTCCACCACTACCACCATCCTCGTAATTGGGCCATCTTTACCTTCGTTCTTACAATTTTCTTCTCTCCTCGACAGTTGTGATCCTTCGAACTTAACTCTCCATCGAACTTTCCTTTGCCTCTACTCTTCGTTGCCATGTCGCAAGCCGCCAAGGCTGCTCTCGAGAGCATCTCGTTCATGGAGAAGGTAATCTGACCAACGACCTCTCATCGTGCTCATGGTTGATGCGCTAGAGTCTGGCTCATCGTGTGAAGGCGTTTGGCCTGGACCACGACGAGTCCGTGAGGCAGTGGAAGCGGCTGGTGACAGAGTACAACGTGGCTGCCATGAAGATGCTACAGACTGACGACTACGAGCTGGTGGGACATGCATCAAGTTCGCTCCTGTTCCTCTTGTGCTCATGCGTTGACCAGGCCATGGACCTGCTGAACCGAGCGAAGGAGCTGACCAAAGGCGACGTGAAGTTTGGGGAGGCTGACGACAGGTAGGGCATGACAGCTCCTCTTCCTGTCAGAGCCTGACTCGAGGACTCAAGGAGGAAACTTTTGGCCATCACGTTCAATAACATGTCCTGCATCCACAAGAAGAGAGGCTTCCTCAAGACAGCTCTAGGTTTCCCCTGCTTCTTTGCTCCCTCCTCTCCTCAGCTGACGCCCGGCAAAGGCTTCGCCGAGAAGGCCCTGAAGCTGGAGATCGCGAGCAGCAAGGCAGACAATCCAGCTTGTACCCACCTGAACCTGGTGAGTCAGCATGTTTGCGGGATGTTGGCCAGCTGAAGCTGCTGGGCTATCAGTGCGCTATCCTGTCAAGGCTGGGCCGCCACCAGCATGCCCTGCAGCACTGCCAGGTCAGCAAGCCTTAGGGGAGCGTAACAGATCTGATACGACAAGTCAGTGTGCGCTGGACCTTCTGCTTGGGGAGAACTATGCTAGTGGGGTGACGCCGGGATTTCTAGACGAGATGGGGGAGGAGAAGGTGAAGAGGCGGGAGGAGGCGAAGAGCAGCTGAGCGCGTGCAGGACTCGTCGATTCTCGCCGTGTGCTATCACAACATGGCGGTGGAGTTCGAGCACCTTCAACAGGCGAGTCGATGGGAGGAGAAGGGAGGGGAGGGAGGTTGCGGAGGAGGGCGGAGGGGTGGGGATGGTAGAGGAGGGGAGAAGGGAACGGAAGGAGAGGAAGGAGAAGGAGAGTGCTGACGCATCGCAGTATGACAAGGCGATCCAGAGCTATCTCAAGTCGGTGGAGACAGCTGGGCAGGAGCTGGGGATGGATCACGCGATAACGCAGGTGAAGTGCAGCTGGGAAGTGGAGGAGACCTCTGAAGTGAGAGGGCAGGCGTTCGAGAGCAGAGCGAACGAGGCGGTGCCTCTGCTGGAAGCGAAGCTGAGAGAGAGTAAGGGGAGAGCTGGGCTTGTTGACCCGTCTGAAGGCCTGCAGGCAAGCGGAGCAAGAAGGTCAACGAGTACGACCAGAAGTTGGCGGCGTACGCGAAGAAAACTCCGAGGGGGACAATGAGATGATGGAGGATGCGGTGGTGGTGGAGGCAGAGCAGAGGAAGAAGCGTGTGTGTGTATGGAGGAGGAGAAAGGCTGGAAGAGGAGGGAAGGAGTGGAAGGCGGGAGGAGGAGGTGGAGGGAGCGGGAGCCTGTCACCTTGTTTTATTGTTTCAAGAGATCATTCTGTGAGAGCAGAGCCAAACTCGATGCTGCCGATGACCTGCAGGACAAGTTAGAGAGAAGAAGAGAAGGGGGAGGGAGCGAGAGAGGAGAGGGAGGGGAGAGGTGAGGGAGGGAAGGGAGAGAGAGGAGGGAAGAAACGGAGCGGGGAGAAGGAAGAGAGAGGAGGGAAGTAGGCGTTGGGGGTAACAGAAGGCATTTGAAGCGAGGGAAGATACAGGGGCAGGAGGAGGGGGAGGATGAGGAGGAGGAAGAGGGGGAGGAAGAGGGGGATGATCAGGAGGAGGAGGATGGGAGGGGGGAGGGGGGAGGGGGAGGATCAGGAGGAGGAAGAGGGGGAGGAGGATGGGAAGGGGGAGGGGGAGGGAAGTGGAGGAGGAAGGAGTACATCGAGGAAGAGGGCGAGGTCGTCCGCCGTGATCTGGAAGATATTCTTGCAGACTTCGTAGAGGAGGAACTGCCCGGCAATGATCGCGCCAGCCCACACGCAGCTGGGAAGGAGGTCAGGTGCGGAACAGCTGGGAAGGAGGAGCACCGAGAGCCTAGACCCGCAAAGAACCCACGAGGCCCCATGTTCCTCCATATGTCCAGCACGACCGTCGCCTGCCATCCCTCCCTCAGCACTCGAGAGGGGGGAGGGAGCAGAGAGGAGGAGGAAGAAGTAGAGAGGAGGGAACAGAGCGGAGGGAGGTGGAGGAGGGGTGAGAAGGAGAGAGCAAGGGCAGGAGGGAGGAAGAGGGAGCGCAGGGAGAAGGACGAAGGAGGAGGAAGGGAGGGAGGATTGGGAGGTTGATGACTTACCGCATCGACAGATGAGTTGTCCTTCATCCTCGTCAGAACCTGCTCAGCTCGTCAGCCCCCCAGCTCTCTCCCAGTTGAACTCACCGAGTCCGCAGGCTGCGAGACGATGCTGCTGCTGACCCCTGCTCGTCCTCGTGTCACCTCCACCTCCACCCCAGCTCGCTCTCAGCACCTGCGACGAGGCCGGCAACGAGGGAGACGAGGAGCTGAGTGATAGCCTGCTCGCCAAGGACGGGGAAGAAGGAGTAGATGGTGGAGGCGAAGGTGTCGAAAACGAAGAACTTGACCATTCCGAAGAGGACTTGTCGGGTCAGGAGGAAGGAGAACCCCTCGTACAACCCCCGGAAGAACCCTTCCTCCTTGATGATCCGTCCTGCAGGGAGGGTGAGCGGCACAGGAGCAAAGTAGGTAGAGAAGGAGGAGAAGAGAAGAGGAAAAGAGGGGGAGGAAAGGAGGAGAGAGCAAAGGAGGAGGCCGAGGAGCAGGAGCAGGATGCGGAGGATGAGGAGGAGGAGGAGGAGCAGGAGGATGAGGAGGAGTATGAGGTGGGTTGCTGAGCAATACCAGCAACGGCAAGAGCGCCGGATCCATAGGAGGGGTTGGAAACCATTCGGATCCTCGTGACCTCCGCAGGACAAACTCCAAGGCAGGCGACTGCAGTGGAGGCAGCGCCAGCTGAAGGAGGATGGAAGTCAGGGAGAAGCAAAAGAGAGAGAGAGAGAGCGAAGGAGAGAGAGAGAGCGAAGGAGAGAGAGAGAGAGGAGAGAGAGAGAGAGAGAGAGAGAGAGAGAGAGAGAGAGAGAGAGAGAGAGAGAGAGAGAGAGAGAGAGAGAGAGAGAGAGAGAGAGAGAGAGAGAGAGAGAGAAGGAGAGAGAGAGAGAGAGAGAGAGAGAGAGAGAGAGAGAGAGAGAGAGAGAGAG